TTCTCAACTGCTTTGAAAATCCCATATTCCCTTTGCTAGCTTACTATTTGGGGACCCTGCTCCTTGGCTGTTCTTTTCTTCCAGTCTTTGTCAGTCATACTTGTGGCACGTGTTTCTTTACCTACCACCCAGTTTTGTTTAAAACATGCAAAACCGTAGAGAGTCTTAAGAACAGTCTTACTCAGTTACTAGTAATGTGTTTTTATTTATTGAAAATAGTTTTGTGGTAAGGATTGTGTTAGATTTACAAATTAGTGAATTGATTCCTCTTTGTTGTGTTGCTTTCATTGTTGAAAATAAAAGAACTTTGAGTCTCCAAGTGTTTTTCTTTGATTGTATTCACAAAACCTTTCAATAGAAAAACCATGAAGGGTTGGACTATTTTTGGCTCTTAATTAGGTCAGTAATGAACAAAGTGGTTTCATTTTAGAACTAGTAGGCTATTAGAAAGATGCTAGTTCTTCTGAATGGAGCAGAGAGAAGATCTGCCTGAATGGAGCAGAGAGAAGATCTGCGTCAAGGACTGTTGAGAGATGGAGTGAACTGCTGAGAGCTGGAGTGGAGAGGAGCCAATCAGGAACCAGCAGGTGTGTAACAGAAGGTGTCGGTTCCCTACCCGTGTTTTCTGGGCACTCACCATTCCAGCATATGCCACTGATAGGAGTCCCACTGCAAGTGCCTGCTGAAGCTTTCCCTCTCCTTGAAAGGCTATGGCGTTAATGCCCCTGGGAGTGGCTTTCAGTTGATGGGGGATGAAAATTAGAGGATGCAGACCCAATTTCCTTGCTGTCCAGAGAAATGACATGACTGAATCTTTGAGAATTACCCCGAGTGGGATAATGGTGTCCATGCCATCTGTGAGAGATTCCCGGCAGAAATAAGCAGAGTGGCCCACAGTGGGAGCCTCTGTATATATGCACCCTGCATAGGCTTCCTTCTTGTTTCGCATCTGCACTTCCTAATAAGTACATCCTGAAATCATCAGTTACACACACATTATTAGAGTTCAATTCTGGGGGAATCCAGCCTAAATCAACATGCTTCACTTTGCCCTTCTCTTTGTGTATGTTGAAAGGATACAACTGCTCCTAGTAGTACCTAGCTCACTCCAGGAGTAATTTTTAAGTAGGTATTGGGAAGGATTGGGTGGTCGGCATTTGTTTAAAATGTGTTCTCCAGGGATGCCTGGGTAGCTCGGTTGGTTGTGTCTAACTCTTGATTTCTGCTCAGGTCATGATCTCAGGGTTGTGAGATCGAGCCCCACATTGGGCCTTGTGCTCAGCATGGAGTCTGCTTTAGATTCTCTCCCTCTCCTTCTGCACCCCCCCCACTTGTGCTCATGTGTGCATACACTCTCTTTCAAATGAATAAAAACGGAGATGTCATTTAGGTTGTTTATAACCTAATGAAGTTACTACAGCTTTTACAGGGCTAGAAATTTCAGTTTTGTCAAAGCATGTGCAAAAGGGTCTGATTCATTATATCCAGACTCCCAAAAGATGTGTAAACCAAAGCACTCATTGTAAACCAATAACTTTCAAATACCCGTTTTTTGCAATTTCTCTGGCATTTCATTTTTCAGACTGAGAGGTATATGTGGGGAAACATTATCAGAAGTATTTTTGGGAGCACAAATCTAAGCCAGGAGAATGAGTTGAATTTTAACGGTTAATGGTATTGAGCTATGGCTGCAACTGCTCAAATCCTAAAGTCAGAATCCCCTCCCTTGAGCCGCCAAATTCTTGTTTTTTGGGTTTTCTTGACTTTATGAGACTTGTGCTCTGGGAAACATCATGTCTTACTCATTTTAGCTCTTGAATTCTGGGCCTTCCTCATTATTCCCTTCTACTCCCACACTTCAGCTTTTGAAATTTGCTAGGCCTTAAATAACTTCTGTACCTTCATTAGTGGCAGAAACATTTTTTTCTGTCTTCTCTTTGCCAACTGCGGCAGTGGATTATGCTCCTGGTATTCAGTTTTCCTTTGTTCCCTGCCCCTTTTAAGCAGATGCAGTTGCACTTTATTTTTTTTTATTTTTTTTATTTTTATTTATTTGAGAGAGAACAAGAGATAGAGAGCATGAGAGGGAAGAGGGTCAGAGGGAGAAGCAGACTCCCCGCTGAGCAGGGAGCCCGATGTGGGACTCGATCCCGGGACTCCAGGATCATGACCTGAGCCGAAGGCAGTCGCCCAACCAACTGAGCCACCCAGGCGCCCTGCAGTTGCACTTTAAACGTTTAAGCTGCTGTCTGAATTCTTGAGATCTCTTGTTTTTGGTCTAATGCTGTTTGCTGGATCATAATTGCTTATAACAGAAAACTTAACCTAAAGGACTTTTAAACAGTAAGGGAAATGGGATTATATCTTGTATATATAACAAGAAGTCCTGAGGCAGTTAGCTTAAGGGTTCTTTTTATATTTCCGCTCTGCTACTTCTAGCTTGTCCTGTAGGCTGCTTCCTTTGTGGTCGGAAGTTGGCTGCTACAGTTCTAACAGTGGAAGAGGGACCATTTCCTCCTAGGTGTCTCCTTTATTGGCGAGCAAGCTTTCTCAGAAGCCCCTAGACTTCTCATTGGCCAGAATTTTGGCACATGCCCCTTCCTAACTTCTTAAATGACTAGATTGACTTAAATTTATCTCAAGGTCTGTCTTTCTTGGGCTGCAGATTGTGTAACCTTCCCTGAGAATGTGGTATGAAGGGAAGGTAAATACCCAAATAAAAATCTGCTAAATCGATTGTACAGATAAACCCTAGTGACATTCTATAGGAACAAGAATACCCATCCAGTAGTGGATAATTACCTCTGTTATCATCAGCCTGGACTTAACCTTTTGAGTTTGTTCTCTTCTCCTTTTTCCTATAATTTACCTTAGGGTTTTTGAGCATATTTTCTTTTCTTCCTTTTTTTTTTTTTAATTTTGATTTTATTTATTTACTTGAGAGAGAGCGCAGAGGGAGGGGGAGAAGCAGACCCCTGCGGAGCAGGGAGACTGATATGGGACTAGATCCCAGGACTCTGGGATCATGACCTGAGCCAAAGGCAGACACTTAACCGGCTGAGCCACCCAGGTGCCCTTTGAGCATATTTTCTTAAAGTAAATGCCATTTATGCTTCTCTGTCAATAATAAACGTTACCTTGAAACTCATTCTGCATATCTTTTTGCTCTTTTCCTCTCAGACTTTCTAGCTTTCAGTGTGGTGGTGCCTATCAAGAGGGAGGGCTTCCTCAGTTCATTTTTTTAATTTTCTACCTGCAGCTTTCAGTTTTGATAGTTTATTGCCTTTGAGGTATTTCTGGGAAATGTATCCAGGTTTTATGAGCTTGGCACCGTGGCACCGTGGGCTGCCTGCCTCAGGTCATAAATTTGTGTCCAAAGATACGAAGAGCTCATCAGGGCTCTTGAGAGAAGCTTGCCGATGACTGTTCTGCCTGATGTTTTGTGTATTTAACTGGTAGCTGTTGTCCACATTATGGATTTAAGTAAATCAAATTATTTTCTAACGTTTTTAAAGCAGGCAATGGAAACTTTTTACAAATAGATTCTTACAGGGGTTAAAGTAGTTAAAACAGGGAGCTCATTAGAAGGGTGTGGCTCTAGAGCTTTTGGCAGGCAAACCAAAACCTAAGCCAGAGACCATATACTGAAATCTAAGAAAAGCACACTCAAGAAGAGGAAATTTGGGTACGTGGAGAGGCACCCTGGGAATGTGCACACCGAAGGAAGACCGTGTAAGTCCAGGAGGAGGATGGCCATTAGCTTAGCAAAGAAACAGGTCTCAGAAGAAACCACCCAGCAGACACCTGGGGGACTGTGAGATGGAAGTCCTGTCATTCCAGCCACCTAGTCTGTTCATGTATAAACACCGTCATATATTAGCTTCTTTTTTGTTTTTGATAGATGCCACACTCATTTGTGCCCTGTGTGTGCACATGTGTGTTTTAATTCGTTAGGTGATAAAGTTCAGCTAATATCAGGAAAAATAATTTCTAGTGAGTGTAATTTGACCATAGATACGGATGTTGGAATATTCTGGCACTTGAGCATCAGTGTGTGAACAGCTAGAGAAACTCTTGCACATAATGCACCCACATACCGATACCACCAGTAAGGATGTACACCTCATACCTGTTAGTGTAGATCAGGTATCTTTGTGGTACTGGGTGCATGTGTATGGACCTTATTCTGACACCTTCATATGGAAAGTAAATAGCAAATATGACAAAACAATGCAAATTGATAAAACGAACCAAATATTTTTCCAAGATATTTATACTGTACCAAGGTAAACTGACACATGTTCATACACCAAAATCTACTTTAAAAGTTACCATTTCAGAAGAAGAAAACTGAAAATGAGAATGGTTATCTCAGGTTTTAGTTTGAGAATTTATAATAAAATGAATTTCCTGGTGTGTGTGTGAATATAAGTGAAAAACCTAAAAATGTAGAAATACATTAAGTAGTTGTGTCACTACTGTATTTTAATTGTAAAATTTTTTACGTTTAAAATAGAGGAAAAAACAAGTGAAGAATACTCAGGTGCCTGGGTGGCTGAGATGGTTGAGCGTCTGCCTTTGGCTCAGGTCATGATCCCAGGGTCCTGGGATCGAGTTCCGCATCGGGCTCCCTGCTCCTTGGGAGCCTGCTTCTCCCTCTGCCTGTCTCTCTCTCTCTCTCCCTCTCTCCCTCTCTCTGTCTCTCATGAATAAATAAATAAAATCTTTAAAAAAAAAAAGAATACTCAGTATCGTGGATTGGTCCTAATTCATTTAATCATTCCCTTATTGGTAGATACTGAGATAGTTTCTAGTTCTAGTTAAAGCTTTCAGAGCTTTGGAGAAAAGCGCACTTTTGTGAACTCACATCATTGGGAAATATACTATCCTTTCATTTTCTACATGATAAATATTTCAAGTTAGCTTTCCCATCTTGATAGGAGAGGAGTGCTGATATGTCCCTTGTAGACCTGTTTTCGCTTGGGTTTGGTTATGGTTCATGAATGTTCCAGATTGGTGCACATGGTAATTACAGAGAGGAGGTCATGTTTGTCAGAAAAGTACGTGTCTTCGTTCAGAAGGATTCCGCAGACCTGTGTGCTCGCTAATGCCTACGGTGCTTCCAGAGGCTGTATGCAGCTTTCTCAGTGAAGGGAGTACAGAAGATAACCACTGCCCACAAAAAGTTAAAACCTCCATTTGGGATTCCAATTGTTTTCTCCTTCCTCTTGCATTAATCTTGTCCCAGATAGGACGACTTCATTGTTCACTGTCCTTTAAGTTGCACTGATTCTGCATCAAAAGAGAGGCCTGGACCAGGTTCTGAGAATGACTTCTTCCTTCTGAAACACAGGCCCTGGTGAGCTTTGTAGCATATGGAACACAGCCTGAAAATCATTTTCACTGAAGCACAGTTGGGGTCCTGGAGAGTTCTCTTTCTGTGGATTAGGGACTCAGGAAAGGTACCTTTTCCTGAATGTCTGTGGATAACAGGAGCTGACATAAGGCCTGAGGTTTCTACACACTGCTTATGCAGTTGGCTGAGGGAATGGGATGGTTCTCCAGTTGATGGTGTGCTGCAGCCATGTGTGTCTCAGTGTGTCCCTTCTCGAGGATCTCATGTTGCAGTCAGAGCCTGGCAGACCTCGTCCCATCGTTGCAGAATGTAAGGTATGTCCACCTGCTCCAGACCCTGCAGCTGGTGTTCTTGGTGCTCAGGATGAGGCTGACAATAGCCCTTCAACGGCAGTACTGCTGTGCCAGTCTGTTCTTTGTGATTCTGGCATTTTTCTTGGTTTGGGAGCCACAAGGGAGTCTGAGTATCCGAGAGGTCCCCTCCTGAAGTCGAGGGTATTGGCAGGTGATTCCTAAGGGTCTGGGGAGAGAGAGAATTCTCTCCTCTCTGCATAGCCTGCGTGGGCTGCACCATCGTGACACTTGGTCCTTGGCTCACACAAGGGACAGAGGACGCATGGGCGGGGAGAGGAGCAGGGAGAAACGTTTGGTTCCTGCTGAAAGAATCGGAGGAAGCAAAATGATGAGACCTGCCCAGGGGAGTGGACAGATTAATTTGGTGCTGCTGAGCTGTCAGACCTGGTCTTCCATTTGGGCCATCTGCCAAGGAATTCATGGACTCTGCTCTGCTCTGCTCTGGGTATAGGGATCTTTGGTTCTGAAACCACATCTATGTGAAGAAAAAAGAGGATGTCATAAGACAAGTGACTGTGGCTCTGTTTCTCGTACTGCGTAAAGCAAAGGGGCTATTAATACAGGCCCCAATATCAGAAATAAAATATTCCATATTGTGAAATACATTACTCTGGTTCATGTGTTTAGTATGTATATATATGTATAAATATGTATGTACAAATGTGTGTGTATACATATACAAACATAAATTGAGGTCACAGCACACTCAGCAATCAAACTACAGAGGACTTGAAACTGGCTGAAAAGGCATATGATCTAGATTCCTCCCTTTAATTTCAGCAATGGATCAGAAACATTTTCTTGACCAGGTTGGCATTTTTCTCTTTGCCAACGTGTGCAGAGAATCCCTATCTTATATGCACATGTATAAATCTCATCAAGGATTAATGAGTGCAGGTCTTTGGAGGGTTTCTGTGCTGATAAACCTATGGATGTGCTACTTAGTCATGAGCATTTAACACATACTAAACTACTGTCCCCGTAACTTTAGAAGGTACCAATGGGAGTGATTTTGTTCTCCCAACTGGAGGACATTTGAGTAAGTATATAGAGTTTTGGGGGTGTCACAAATTGGGGGATGTAGGTGGGCAGGGTATCTAGTTGGTAGAGGCCAGGAGTGCTGAAAAATACCTACTAGACACAGGACAGCCTCGCAAGAAAGGAATTATCTGGACCAAAATAACAGTTCCAAGCTGTAGAAAACCTGACGGGGGTTCTCAAAATAGGTATTAACTTTCACATTTCCCCACATTTTTGCTGCTGGTGATTTTAAATGTGTATACCACTGACAGAATTCTTCATTTTGCAGGAGTGTGACTTGCAATGCTAGATGTTCACCATCCCAGACCTTTTCGTAACCTCGATGACTGGGATAATCCAATAGAGGTCAAAGTTTTTCAGCAACCCATTGGGGGGAATATCACAGGTAGAACATATTTCATGTCACAGACACAGAACTTACTTGAATTCTTGGTTCCTGAATGCCTGTTTTTTTTAGCCAGTTTTTTCCTGGTTGTAATATCAAGGAATCGGCTCCTCTGAAAGGCTTGAAGTAGGAAGTGTGATTGAGATCTTGTGATGGCTGTCCAGTCTTGTCCGGCTGCTTTTGGAAGTGTTCTGAAGGAGAACATGGGAACAGAAGATGTCTTTTAGAACAATTTTCATGTTTGAACTAGAAACTTGAACTTGGGAAGATCATGCTGATTACACTTCCTCTTCTTGAATCCCTGATGGTGACAGAAGAGGGTGCCACCCTGCGTAGAGCAGGAGGACCAAAGGGCGCAGAGCCTTGCTTGCTAAGAACCTGCCTGTCCTAGCCAGCTGTGGGACCATTCTTATATTTCTGACGCTAGGGTGCCCAAAGCAAGCAAGATAATGAGTTTTTGTCAAGAACATGGGCACAACGTGCCGAGTTATTTCCACTTTCACTGGGACCCACTGAAGAAACGCATTTGTACCAGTGGTTTCTTACCTTGAGTGCAAGGCTGGTGATGGTGTTGTCCTTGGGTTTCGTCTCTTCCTAAGGAGCATCCAAATTCCAATTGTCTCTGTTTCGATCTGTGGTTTTTAAACCAAATCTAAGTGGGAGAAGAGGATGTGAAAGTCGTGTAATTCAGTCTGTGTCAGACCAAATATCAATGCAATTAAAATTGATTTGATCAACTGTCATTGCGGTAATACCCATAAGAAAAAAGGTGATGTATTATCCTAGGAGTTATGTTACTATTAGTATACAATTCAGTACAGCATTTCTTTTGTCGTCGTCATGATATCTCAAGAAAAATTCCCTGACTTAAGAGACACTCGCCGATCTATCGAAGGAGACCAATATTTCTTTTTCTCCCTCTCCCACCTCTCTCTCGTAACAGGTCTTCAATGTGTGAACATCTTTTCCTGGCCTATTGTCTCTTTATAAGAAATACCATTTTATAATGTATAATACATATAGCATTGATTGTGGAAAAGAATTTCCTTTTTTTTTTTTAGAAAAAAGAATTTACTTTTTCTTTAAACTGAGCAGGTTGGGGAGGGGCAGAGGGAGAGAATCTTTTTTTTAAGATTTATTTATTTTAGAGAGTGCGAGCCGGGGGGAGGGGCAGTGGGAGAGGGTGAGAAGCAGACTCCCTGCTAAGTGTGGAGCCCTACTTGGGGCTCCATCTCACAACCCTGAGATCATGTCCTGAGCTGAAATCGAGAGTTGGACAGTTAACTGACTGAGCCAGGCAACTGCCCCAAGAATATCTTTAAATGGTGAGTGAATTAGCAACAGTTGAGCTGTACTAACCCTCATCAACATTCCCTCTTATCCTATAATCAGCAATAGATAAGGAGACTCCTGGACCCTGTACACCTTGCTGTGAAACTCTTGTCATGAATATAACTCGTTGAACTTCTTGTTTCCTCATTTTTGGAGTTGGATTTGCAGTGTACTTTCTAACTTTTTGAGTGTTTTATTTTGATAATTTGTGATAAGATTTAGCGTGTTAATGACCACCAATATTTAACAAACCACTCCTTTATCCAGGCATTGTGCTGAAAGGTTATCTCTGCTCTAAATTAAAATATTTTCAGGTAAGTCTTAAGCACATCACCAGCTATTCCCATAGGATGCACTTTTATTACTGGGCTTAGAGTAAACTGTGTCTTTACACCTAGAACAAATGTATGAAGAGTAAGGAAAAATTTCTCCCCAGCATCCCTTAGACTAAGGAGCTTATAGCCAATGGCTAATGGGAGACTCTTTATAGACACAAAAATCTGAACTTATTATTTTCCTTTAAGAGCACATTTTTACTGATCTTCATTGTTTTAAATGCTATCTCACCTTGTATAGTTGTATTGTTTACACTGCAATTATCGCCTTGCTAACTGAAGAAATCCAGCTTCGTTTCATTTTCACATCAGTAGCTCTATTCAAGTGATACAATATGGGATTTTACTTCATATACTTATGTGTGTGAATCACACTTCAGGTATTTAAAAAAAACTAGCCTGAAAATTGGGAACATGTTGAGTTCTTGCCCCACAGTTTCCTCATAATCACATATTAATCCTCATTTTGCAGTATATATCAATATTTTTTTAAAGATTTTTTTTATTTTTAAGTGATGTCTACACTCAACGTGGGACTTGAACTCACAGCCCTGTGATCAAGCATTGCTTGCTCTACCAACTGAGCCAGCAAGGTGCCCCAGTCCATATCAATACTTAATGATAACTTATCATTAACATACTGTTATAATTTCCTAAATTACCTAATCTTAAAAATTGATTTATCTCCTATTGGGAGAGCCTGGACCAGTGTATTCTCTTCTCATTAGTGAATATACCCAACCAATATTTCCACAATTGGTAAAAGATACAAACACAGTTCTTGTTTTTAATATACAACAATAAAAACCTTCTGAGCAACATACCTGACATAAGAATTGCCTGGGGGCACCTGGGTGGCTCAGTCGTTAAGTGTCTGCCTTCAGCTCAGGTCACGATCCCAGGGCCCTGGGATCGAGCCCCGCATCAGGCTCCCTGCTCCGTGGGAAGCCTGCTTCTCCCTTTCCCACTCCCCCTTGCTTGTGTTCCCTCTCTCACTGTGTCTCTCTCAAATAAATAAAATCTTAAAAAAAAAAAAAAAAGAATTGCCTGAAAATCCTGAGCCCAGCCTTTCTGTTTACCTTGAATCTGACAGACAGTGAAATAGAAACCTCTAATGCTTACCTGGATTTTGGACTCCGGAATGCCAATTTCTTTGGCCCATTGTTTCCTGGTAGCTCTATCAGGGTAAGGGTTTTGTTTAAACCATTCTTGGAGGATATCCTTTTGACTCTGGTTGTAAACAATCCTGCCTTGCCAGGTTTCTTATTGTAGTATGCCCGATGAAGAGAAAATGGGAAGAGGGGTATGGAAGATATGTTTATGGATTAAGAACTCCATGTAAACGTAAGTTTACATGTAAACCTTACTATCAGTGATGGACATAAACATAAGTCTTAACTTTTTTTTCCAGGTTGAAACCTGTAGGTTTAACAATGATTCTATATTTTTACTTTAGGGGTACAGCTACTAAAGTCATGCTAAATTGGAGACATATAAGTCAAATATGTGTGTATAATAGAAAAAAATTACAATTTGTGATCTGAGTTACTGAAAATCCATAAAATTCAATGCAGAGAAAATAGGAAGCAATAGGAGCTAGGAAAATTAATGGAAATAAACAAGACCTTAAAAGTTGAGATAAAACACACAGTAACTGGTACTTTGTGTTAAAATACATTTTAATATAAAATACTAGGTATTCCATATGTATATGTTTTCTCCATTTACAGTGTCAACTTTAGAACTTTCGACAATGCACTTGTGAGACTTAATGGCTATTACCTTAAATTTGAAATTCCAGTCTCCAACCTTATTTTTTTTTAAAGATTTTATTTATTTATTTGACAGAGAGAGATAGGGAGAGAAGGAACACAAGCAGGGGGAGTGGGAGAGGGAGAAGCAGGCTTCTCCCGGAGCAGGGATCCTGACGGCGGGACTCGATCCCAGGACCCAGGGATCATGACCTGAGCCGAAGGCAAAGGCAGACGCTTAACGACTGAGCCACCCAGGTGCCCCCCAAGTCTCCCAACTTTAAAGCACCCATCAATCCTAATACAACTTATTGATGCAAACAGCTCCTGCTCCCAACAATTTGCCCCTCTAATCATGATTGTGATTTTTAACTTTTATAAACTCTGGAAAATGAAGCATATGGCATTATCAAAGAGCAAAATGCAGACGAAAACTTACCGCTTTCAGTGCTGTTCAAATCCATCTTGGGAAGAGGTTCCTCGATCCCACAGAGGTGAGTGGGCAATGGAGCAGCACTCCAAGACACCAGGCTTATCAACACCCAGGGTGATCCACCCATTTCTTAAATACCCTTCTATTTAATCACTTCATTAATGTTTAACACTTAGAAAGAAACTTGAAGTAGTCAGATTAAGTACAGATTCTACCAGACAATTTTACATCTATCCTAATGTCTTTCCAAATCTGACTTAGAATCTGTGCTCTCCAGTTTACACACACACACATAGATACATTTATAAATTTTTTTTTAAGATTTTACTTATTTATTTGAGAGAGAGAGAATGAGAGATAGCATGAGAGGGAAGAGGGTCAGAGGGAGAAGCAGACTCCCTGCTGAGCAGGGAGCCTGATGCAGGACTCGATCCCGGGACTCCAGGATCATGACCTGAGCCGAAGGCAGTCGCCTAACCAACTGAGCCACCCAGGCGCCCCACATTTATAAATGTTTTGGTACTCTTGCTTTTTAATTATTTTGGCTTGATATAATATTGTATGGATATACATACTTCACTTTATATTTTTCCTCAGTTCTTAAACACTTTTTTAAACAAGATTTTATTTGAGAGAGCACGAGCGGAGGGGCAGCAGGCAGAGGGAGAGGGAGAAGCAGGCTCCCCACCGAGCAGGGAGCCCGATGCAGGGCTCGATCCCAGGACTCTGGGATCACGACCCGAGCCACAGGCAGATGCTTACCCGACTGAGCTACCCAGGGGCCCTTGAAACACATTTCTTTCCATCAGTGATAGTGAGGTTTACATGTCATCTTGGCTAGTCCATACAACATAGCTACTCAAAAAAATACGATCTAGGTTTCAAGGTATTTTGTCGATTGATTGAATTACATAATCAGTTGGATTTAAGTAAAGGAGATTATCCTTGATAATCAGGGTGGGGCTGATACAATCATGGAAAGTTTTTTTTTTTTTTTAGATTTTTATTTTATTTATTTGATAGGGAACACAAGCAGGGTGAGTGGGAGAGGGAGAAGCAGGCTTCCCGCTGAGCAGGGAGCCTGATGTGGGCCTCGATCCCAGGACCCCGGGATCATGACCTGAGCTGAAGGCAGATGCTTAGCGACTGAGCCACCCAGGCGCCCCAGTCATGGAGAAGTCTTCAGAGCAAAGCTGGGCATTCCTGGAGGGAAAGAAATCACAGCTGAGGATAGCAGCTTCATTGCCCCATGAGAGAGTTTCAGCCCTCCACAGGATCTGCCCCAGAAATCTCGTTCTTGCCTATCCAGGTGCTACAATTGTATAAGCCAATAATATGTGTTTATGTATATGTATATATACATATGCATACATGTGTATGTATAATTTCGCTGGTTTCCTGTGAGTTCAGATGCTACTGCTCTATTTCTCTGGTTGAGGCTAAATGATACAAATGTTAGCCCTGGAGGCAGTTCTCTAAGAACAGACTTATAGATAGATATTTGTATATTTTACACATAATTTAAATATATATAAATACAATAAGGATTTGGGTTACCTGACCAGAATCAAAACGTGAGATGGTTGCTGAAATATGAATTGGTAGTGGAAGAAAATTGTTAAGAATACCAGCTACTTACCTTGTGACCATTTGCAGAATCAAGGATATACTAGTTATGAGAATTTTGCTATGAATCTGTATATATATTAAAATATTTGTTTTCTTCCCACAGTTATCCCCTAATGATCCATTAATAGTTACCTTTATTATTTCAAGTAGGCTCCATGCTCAACTTGGGGGCCTGAAATGACTCTGAGATCAAGAGTCATGCTTTACTGCCTGAGCCAGCAGGCATCCCAACAATAGTTCACTTTAAAGATTTATTTTTTGGGGCGCCTGGGTGGCTCAGTTGGTTAAGCGACTGCCTTCGGCTCAGGTCATGATCCTGGAGTCCCAGGATCGAGTCCCGCATCGGGCTCCCTGCTCAGCGGGGAGTCTGCTTCTCCCTCTCATGCTCTCTATCTCTCATTCTCTCTCTCTCAAATAAATAAATAAAATCTTAAAGATTTATTTTTTTTATTTTAGAGAGAAATAGCATGAGCAGGGGGAGGGGCAGAGGGAGAAGGAGAATCCCAAGCAGACTCCATGCCGAGCACAGAGCCCCATATGGGGCTTGATCCCAGGATCCTGAGATCATGACCTGAGCAGAAATCAAAAGTCAGACTGAGCCACTCAGACACCCCGATAGTTCACTTTAAATCACCGTATTTAAGGAGTAGCAAAAGAGAAGGATGCACATCACTCAAGGATGTTGCATCTTCTTTTGGGGAAAGGATTAGTGTGTTTCAATTGTAGGCAGGATAGTTGTACTTTATTAGGCAGAAATATCACTGTTATTATTATTTTTTAATTTGGAAGTCATGGTTTCAGGAGAGGTGTATGGCTTACAGCTCAACAAGGTGTAGACAGAAATGGCTAGTTTTATGTGTCAGTATGGCTAAGCTACAGAACTTATTATTTATTAGTTATTAACTCATCTAGGTGTTTCTGTGAAGATATTTTGTAGAAGTGATTGACGGTCCACGATCATTTGACTTTAAGGGAGATTATCCTATATAATCTGGCTGGGCCTGAGTCAATCAACTGAAAGCCCAAGAGGATAGAGTGGAGACTTTGCTGTGAAGACATTCTTCCTGTTAATTGATGCTTCAGCTCATGCTCAAGACTTCAGCCCATACAAGGAATTTTGGAATTGCCTAGTGAGTCTCTATAGTCACATAAGCTAATTCCTTGCAATTAATCACTATATATACTGATTCTGTTTCTCTGGTTGAATGGCTGAACTCTGCCTGATACAATCACCAAATTGCTTATTTGGAAATGACATTTAACAGGAAAAAAGTGTATATGTGGATTTGTCATGGAGACAAACCATGGGTGGTGGAAAACTTTATTGAATCCTAGAAAAATGGCTACTCATGTTATGCCACTATAAATTTTTTTTGGGAAAGCTATGTTAGCTGTGAAAACCTGGCAGACAGAAAATGGGTGAAACCCTTTTGTGCCTTGAATTATGGATAACAGAATATTTCTGTCACGATTCCTATGCTCTTAGCCACTATTGCCTAGGAATATTTAGAAAGAAATGAGCTCAGAAAGGAATGTGTTAATAAAGGCATATTCTATTACTATGGAAAAAAAAAAAGGAAAGGAATATATTGTTCAATGGGAAGAAGGTTAGGAGACAGAAGGAATTCATGAACTTCAGGGTAAGAGGTACAGGTAGATTTTATATTCATTTAAATGAAGACGTAAAAACTTGGAGACATACTTTTTGGGAAAAATTTTATACATAGTTAAATGCAAAAATCAAACCTGGGTTGTGATTTAAAAACTTTGGTCTACGGCAATGATTGCATTGAAACTTCTACTAGTAAATCATTCCTCTGTTATTTAAGCATTCCTGTAAACTGCCACAGAAAAAAAAAATGAACGGTGCTTTTGCCACAGACAACTGATAAGCTCAAGATATTGTAGTTAAGATGAGAGAAAAATTAGGCATAATGAGTTAGGGGGTGGGCTAATTGCACCTGGAAGTAAATGGAATCAGGTTAATTGGTTCATACTTGTGTGTGTTTTCCTTTGTTTTTTTTTTTTTTTTTTTTTCTCTACTGCAGACTCTAGGGTCCTGACTAATGAGGCCAAGCAAGATAAGGGCCAACCAAGGATCTGGTCTGGGGACTTCAGCCAGGAAGCAGAAATTGATCTAAATGGCGAGGGGGAAGCGTCTACCCCTAAACATCTCCCCAGCTGAATCTTGCTATTGCTTTGTTCTAGTGATGCAGTCTCCCTCCTCTTCTCTACAGAGGAGAGGATGTTTACTACGTGGGTCCAGTCCCTATTCCAACTGGCTCAGAGCCTGGGCTTTTTTCTTTGATATCTTGATGAAAGAGTTATAATGGGATCTTCTTCTTCTTCTTTTTTTTTTTATAAACAGCATACATTTATAAATTTTACTTCTTAGTAGCTCAAGTTGATCTCAACCGAATATCCCTTGAAGTTCTTTTTTTATTTTATTTTTAAATTTTTTATTATGTTAATCACCATACATTACATCATTAGTTTTTATAATGGGATCTTCTTGTTGCTTTCAGTGTGAATGGAGTTTTGGGGCTTGGAAAATCTTTCATATTGTGTCTGGCGGAGAAGGGTAAGATTATTTTGTGTACTTTAGGGACTGAAGCTAATAATTTTGACCAAATAGATGAACCACAGTGTATTTCATGCCCAGCCTCATGGCGCTAGCCCGGTTAGGCCTTGTCTTCCAAGGGGAGTGGACTTCACAAATTGTTGATTTCAGGCTT